GTTGAATTTTGGAAGATTTGGGGGTTTTCCTTTGTGGTTCCCATACCCTAAATGGGAGTAGATGTTCATTTTCCATCCATTAGTGTTGTTTCCCCCTCCTGTTACTAAAGTGAGAACATAAAAATGCAAAGGACACCCATTACAATAAGCGTCCATAGCTCTAGAGGTGATTTTTAACACAATAATAGCTGTGTCAGGTATAAAACTTGTATTGGGCTAATGCCTATTCTAATATGTAATACTATTAACTGAAGATCATCTTGGAAAGCCCACTATCCTAACATCTTAGAAAGCCCGGGATTCTAACTCCTCTCTAGCTAGAGCAGTTTTAGCACCAATTAAGTCTCTCAACTGGTTAAGAATGGTACTTAAAGCTAATGCCTTTGGCCTGTGTGTTGAGATTTAAATTGCCTATTGTTATTGAAAATTCTTAGTCTTTGAAAAACATTCTATTTGTTCAGGCTTGAAAGAAAAGATCTCACTTCAATGGAAAAAAAAAAAACCAGAGGAAAACATAAAGGAAATATAAGTAAATTCTAGAATACCTGGAAAGCTAGTACATTTCAGGTTAAGGTTAACTGGAGGTAAAAATATGTAGGATTAAGAGTGATTGATTGCTTTTGTCTCTTATGCAAATCAGATTAAATATTTTAGAGTTGAAACCCATATCTCTTTTGGCTCTTTTTATTTTCAAATAAAAAGTTTAAATGGGAATGGAAACAAACTACTCGTTGGCTTAACATAAATCTTTAAACTGCAGGAAGGTTCACCCTCAAAAGTACTTGAATCTCTGAGGGAAAAGAAAAGGCTGAATTCTATTTTTCATAAATGATGGATTATTGTACCACACTGTATTTTCCAGTAAAGTGTCCTTTTATTTGCACTGTGTGATTACAAGTTTCTAAAAGTATGTGTGGGGTCACTTGGGTGCTGTGGGAAAATGGAAGGAACAGTGTTCTGTTAAAATCGGTAGTGAAATCAGAAGCAAACTATGTCCTGATTATCACAGGCATGTGTTTAAATTTTGCTTTCCTTAATTGGTTATGTTGTATTTACTTAAAATGAATAATTTGGCAAGTTTTTCTCCCTTGACAACAGAAAAGCGTAAACTGTTTTATAAGTTTGGCTGTTAAAATCAGATTTGTAAACCACAATATTCAAAGACTTTTACTGCTGTTTACAGGGTCCCAGTGATGGACCTTGCTTTATATCCATGCACTTCTTAACATTTTTATTTTGTATTTATAGTGCTTTCAAGTTATTTGGTTAATAAAAAGTATGCTGTATATTATAGTCATCTATTGACTTCAACTTCAGCATAAGTCTTCTTAGAACAAAATGAGTGGAATGAATGATGGTACAGGCCTTGTAATTTAACTTGTCATCTGAGGACGATTATTTATGGCATCAGGAAATAGAAGTTGATGTTCTAGTCTGTCTCCAGGAAAGTAATCATTAGAGGCAACTTTGGAGAGTTTGGCTACGTTGAAAACTGTGTAATCATATCCAAGACTCTGCTGGTTTCTCAGTATGTATGAGAAGGAAACAAGATAAAGCATTTAAAAACATATTTTCATTTTCTTTGAAAAAGCAATGCACCTTACACACATTTTTCACATGTGGAGCCAGATGGTGGTATTGAAGACAATATAATGTACATATATGTCTCTCTAATTAAGAATACTATCACAAGAATACCTAGGGGAGTTCCAAAAAGATATAACTCACACCATAATTATTTTCATAATCTAGCATTTATACGTTGTGTGTATATATTTTAATTTGCAAAGTACTTTCTAATGGCATCATTTTTACTAGTTCCAAATGGAAGAAAAAGAAATACCTTGTTTGGCCCTGCATTTCTTGGCATACTGTCATGGGAAATGGCAAGGTTTTTGAGGTGAGACCAGAAATAGAAAATATTGCTTTTGTAACTTGTGAAAACTTAGATTGATTATTCTGTTTCATTTCAAAGATGGACTCAAAACCAAAATTGCCCTAAGGCAGAGTTATTCTGAAGGATGTCAAGTGTTTCTTTAGCCTCCAACACTAGAACCCGGACCCATGGGACTTTCACTACAGCTGTCAGTTGAAGCAGATCATAGATGACTGGTGGTCACTGTAATGACGGGACCTAGAAGAAAAGTTGATAGGATAACACATAAACACACTTTATTAAGATGCTCAGAATGACTATTCCAACTAGACCATTTTGAATTAGTTAATTGCTGATACTCATGCTTCATAATCTTGTAAAAGCAATTTTTGTTTGCTTGGATTTTAAGGGCACTTGTTTTTTCTCCAAAATGACCCAAGATAAATCCCTCTTCGGATCCTTTAGTCTCTAACATTTCCATTTGACTCCTAACTGTGCTGCGTTACAATTACACAGGCCAGCCAGGTGGGCATGGCAGCTCACACCTGTGATCCCAGCAGCTTGGGAGGCCATGACAGGAGGCTCACTTGAGGCTAGGAGTTCAAGACCAGCCTGGCCAATATAGTGAAACCCCACCTTTATTAAAATATGAAAAGTAAGCCAAGTGCAGTGGCTCACACCTATGATTTCAGCACTTTGGGAGACTTAGGCGGGGTGATCACTTGAGGTCAGGAGTTCAAGACCAACCTGGCCAACATGGGTGAAACCCTCTCTCTACTAAAAATATAAAAATTGGCTGGTCATGGTGGTACTTGCCTATAATCCTAGCTACTCAGGAGGCTGAGGCAGGAGAATTGCTTGAACCCAGGGGGCAGAGGTTGCAGTGAGCCAAGATCCCACCACTGTACTCTACCCTGGGCAACAGAGCAAGACTCCATCTCAAAAACAACAACAGCAACAAAATTAGCCAGGCATCATGGTGCATGCCTGTAATTCCAGCTACTCAGGAAATTGAGGTATAAGAATCACTTCAGACTGGGAGGTGGAGGTTGCATTGAATTGAAATTGCACCATTACAATCCAGCCTGGGTGACAGAGGGAAACTATTGTCTCAAAAATAAAAAAATAAAAAATAAAAATAAATAATTATGCAAGCCATATACATTTTATCCACAACAGTTAAACCCAGCACTGCCATGCATATTGTAGGTGGTCAATGTATATTTATTTTTTATTATCTTCTAGCACTGTCCAAATGAAACATATATGTAATGTAAATCTTCTAGCAGTGACATTTTAGAAAATAAAAAGAAAAAATTTAAATAATGTATTAATAAGATATTTTATTTAGCTGAAAACACCCAAGACATTATTATTTCAATATATGGCTCAAGCTGCATTTCAAGTGTTCCATAGCCCCAAATAACTAGTGGCTACTACATTGGATTGAACAGGTCTAAAGCAGTGCTTTTCAAACTATTGAGATACACAGAGAAAATCATAATACTTGTATAACACACTGGTGGAAACTGCTCACAGCTGAAGAATACATAGTACAACTGCCCCAAGGACTCAGGCTGTCTTGGTCCTGCCTAAATTACCCTTAGAGCTGAGGGCATCCAGTAACTCTCACACCTATAGAACCCATTGTTAAAAATTTAATTTAAATTTTTTTAAATTTTACTTTAAGTTCTGAGATACATGTGCAGAGTGTACAGGTTTGTTACATAGGTATATGTGTGCCATGGTGGTTTGAAGCATCTATCAACCTGTCATCTAGGTTTTAAGCCCCTCATGCATTAGGTATTTGTCCTAATGCTCTCCCTCCCCATGCCCCCCACACCCCAAAAGGCCCCAGTGTGGGTTGTTCCCCTCCCTGTGTCCATTCTTAAAAGCCCAATAGCTGAGAAACTATCCACCTTTCTCACATGATAGTCATTGTACTTTTTGTTGTCATTGTACTTTTATTACCAATTCATTTAAAAAATAGATAGCTCATGATGGATACATAGATGATAGATATGTATGAGATTTTATATTATACACACACACACACACACACACACAAATTATACTTTAAGTTCTGGGGTACATGTGCAGAACATGCATTTGCTGCATCCAACCCCGTCATCTACATTAGGTATTTCTCCTAATGCTAGCCTTCCCCAATCTCCCCACCCTCTACTATCCCTCCCCTAGCCTCCACCCACTGACAGGCCCTGGTGTGTGATGTTCCCTTCCCTGTGTCCATGTGTTCTCATTGTTCATCTCTGACTTATGAGTGAGAACATGCGGCATTTGGTTTTCTGTTCTTATGTCAGAAGAAAAAGAAGACACCTTGAATGTGTTTAAGACTATGCTTCATGAAAACCCAGACTTTATGCATTATATTCATCCCTGAATTCACAGCCTTTAGCATGAAGCCTGATTAGTAGACATTCAGTGAATATGTTTTCTGGAAAGAATTTTACTTGCACCTGACTTTGAAGATAAATCTGAGACTAGGAAGCTGAGGAGAGGGGCCTAATGAAGACATGGAGAAAGTTTGAGGCAAATTATGTTTCTGAATTTTACCTAGAACTAGTAGTAATTATAAATCAATAAGGAGAGTAAGAAATTCTGCTTCCGAAAAATAAATCACTTTGGGTTAATATAAAAAAGAAGATTGGCAAAATTATTCAAACAAGCAGGATCTTCAGAAATGCCTGCATTAGCTAGAGATACTATATAACCAAATTTAATTGAAATTAACAGTGCTAAAGAGTTGTCTCCTGTAGTTTAGAATGAATTTTTCTTTACTCTGGCTATAATTTTGTGTATAAATACAAATAGGTGGAATTATCCATGTAAAGGTTATCATGCTAAATATAAGGAAATGAAAGTGAAAACAAATTGTGAATATATGGAGCCAATCTCATTCTTATTGTACATTCGTGTTGCAACAGGACTAATACTTTCATGTGAGAAAATTTTACTCTTATGCCTTGTTCTAGACAGAAGAGCCTGAGCTATTAATTCAGGTAGTTGTTTCATAACTACTTTTTTCTATTCAGATTTGCATAAAGTAATAATCAAAAAGAAGAAATTTACTGAAAGCCTCTGATATTTTTTTTTAAATCCTCAGTGTTCAGGCTGCATCATAGTGCTTCTGATACAAGCGACAAAAATCGAGTTAAAAGCAGATTAAAGAAGTTTATTACTCGAAGACCTTCCCTGAAAACTCTGCAAGAAAAAGGACTTATTAAAGGTACAGGTCATTTTATACTTGTACTGTAACTGTGATAAATGAATGCACCTCTTTGTTCACAGCTAATCAGCTCTAAAGGAATATTAGAATATTTTATTCTTCTTAGGTTGCTTATTAAATTTTCTACTCTATAACAGAGAAGAAAAATAATTGTCCAGGAAAGAGATCCTGAGAAAATAAAGGAGGTATCATGGGACCACTGAACAATATACTGAATTTTGCCCTGAGAGGATCTGTGTTCTGCACAGGGAACAGAGAAAGAATATCCTAGTGGCCTGTTAGAATGATCCCATGTCCTCCTGTGCCTGGGTGGTTCCAGTTCACACCTGGGACTTAGTCAGTATGAACCGGCACATTTACTAACCCAGCCCTTTTCCCTATTAGAAATTTCCTGATTTGGATAAAAGGTTATCTGATCACCCTAGTCATAGTCTGAAGTAAGGCTAGGAAGAAAGTCTAAGACAAACAGATGTAATGAAAATGTACGGAAATTGAGAACTGGCAATCTAAAAACTTAATCCAAACTGATATAACTAGGTAATTTTACAGATTAGATGATTGTAAGAATAGATGCTTGCCACCAGAATAGAAAATCATGGTCTCTGGCATTAGACTAATTGGATTACCAGTCACTCATTTTGATATTGATCAAGTTATGATCTTCTCTGAGCCTCAGTTTTTTCATCTGTTAAATGGGGATACTTATATTAATCGCTGAGAGGAACAAATGACATAACCTATGGAAAGCATTCAACAGAGTTTCTGGAACAAAAGTAAGTATTCTATGAATGCCCTCTGCTTATTAACATGGTTGTTATTCATTATTGTTGGTATCACTGTTAGTGTGTCAGATAGATAAAAGGATGGATGGATACGCAGAACCAGTGATTAGTACATTTCTATAACTGGAAATTACCTTATAGAATATATAGGCTATGAAAACAAGAAAACATACGCATGAAATTCATTATTCTATTTTTCAAATTTCTAGCTTATGGGTACCTTTTGAAAATTAAATATAAGAATTTGAAAATGGGTGAAAAGAAACTCCTAACCCTGAGAAAAAAGCTGAAATGCTAATCTTTATAGAAATCGAAAGGTGATTTAATAAGTGATCATTTCTCAGGAAAAGGGCAAAGCAGATCCTAATTTTTTCAGCATTACTTAAAATGACAAGAGTTTAAATAATTTATAACAACTATTCGATCTATCACTTTCAGTCTCCTTTGAAACAGATGAGCAGATCAGAAAAATTAGCTGGCATTCTCAACCAATTGTAGAAGGTGAAATTGAATGAAGCAAAAGCATACACATTGCTAATAGAATAGAAAATTCTTAGGACATGAGCATTTAGAGGTAAAACTGGGACCCTGGTTTAAATCAGACTTGCCTCAGACTTTTACTTGCTGATGAATAGTACTCTTCTTAGTTGTAGACAGTAATTGACCCTCTATAGATTTAACTTCACTTAAGAGTATTACGAGTACCCTCAATTCTACTTCACGATTCATCCTATGGATGATCATTTTCTTAGAAAAGATTCAGTTGCAGGTTAACTGTCATCTTGAAAAATATAAAACTAGCTAAGCAGCCAATAATCCCAATTTTACATAATATCCAAATTTTTCATGACTGTGGCAAAATAAAAGAGGTTATACTTCAGTGGCAGGGTCTGGCTTCATGTGAAATGCTGAAGAATTAATTACCACAGTGCTCTAGAATTGGTCTCAGAAAGCATTAGGGAAGGTGGATGGCTAATGCAGTTTTCATACTGAAGAACTGGAACCGCTAAACACACTCTGATTCATGCATTTCTTATCTTAGAGCTCCATTAAATTTTCACCATAACTGACCAATGAGTCAGTATTCATTAGTAGGGCTATGGAAAATCTATGTAAAATTCTGATTTGATAAGCTTCCATTGTTGTCTTCAGTGGAATTTATTTTTTTAAGTACAGATCGAGTTATGCAAATATAGTCACTTCTTGGGCTTGTTTCAGGTTTAACTATGAACTTTTTTTTAAGGCTTTTACTAAATTTTTTTTTTTTTTTTTTTTTTTTTCCATCTCAGTAAAAGGCATAAACCCATTTTAAAAAATACCTGGCTAGTCACCCTTAGTAATTTAATCCATTTTTTTCCCTTGCACTTAAGGCAAAGACTTAGAAAAACAATCAAATAAGTATTTTTAATCAGTTAAGAAAAATTACATAAAATAAAGTAATGATTAATGGTTAAATGGTTAATATTTCCAAGCAAAATTACATAACTCTTTCAAAGAGGAAATATTTAGAAAGAGGAATAATGGCTTCAGAATTGTTCTGCAGCTCATTTGGACTGAGAATCTGTATTATACTTTATACACTGTCTAATCTTCCAGATTTACCCAAAATATCTCCATTACCAAGGTTCAGGAAAGCTGTGCTTGGTAGCTTGGGTCTTACAATTGTGCTTCCTGAGACCTGGGAGGGATTCTGCAAGGCCATGTCAGTTTTCAAAGTGTTTACTCTTTCATATAATTTGCCAATAGGTTGAGGAGATTTGGCTTTGAATTCAAGCATCCTGTATTGAGCATTACAATAGGGGCAGGAAAGGTTAATATTTTATGGACCCTATAATGCCCATCAGAGTCATGTACACAAAGCACTTAATGTGAAGTACCCCAATGTCACACAATCTAAACTCAATCACAAACCCCTTCTTCAAAACCTGTTTTTTGGACTCAAAGAGACGTGACCAATATGTGGTTTCATTAGCTAGAACCTAGACTTGGAAACAGTCACTTAATGGTGCTGTATTTTCTAAAAGAAAAACTTTTTTTAGACAGAGTTTCACTCTGTCACCCAGGCTGGAGTGCAGTGGCATGATCTTGGCTCACTACAGCCTCTCCTTCCTGGGTTCTAGTGATTCTTATGCTTCAGCTCCTGAGTAGCTGATATTTCAGGCATGCACCACCATGTCCTGCTAATTTTTTTTTTTTAAGAGATGGGGTTTCGCCATGTTGGCCAGGCTGGTCTCGAACTCCTAGCCTCAAATGATCTGTCTGCCTCAGCATCTCAAAGGGCTGGAATTAGAGGCATGACCCACCACACCCAGCCCTGTATTTTCTAATGTCTTTAATATGACTAAAGAGAAGGACACATTATGATGTTAAAAAAAGTGAGTCAGAAGAAAATTCTGAATGACAGATTGCTCAATGAAAAGAAATCTTAATAGCACAGGTGGCTTTAGCAAACATTGTGCCGTTGCAAGGGTAGCTTTGGAAGAGTTCTCCAAGTGCACTCAAGTTTGCCAAGGAATGGTGAGCCCTTTTTAAATATATGAGTTTATTACCATTGAGCATCACATTGGGAACAAAACTTGAATCAATTTAATATATAGATTATAGGCAAAAGGGTCCATTTTAGGGTGGTAGGTATGTTTGTAAATATCCTCAACTGCTTCTGGAACTGGAGTAACAGATCTTTAGTTTTAGCCCAACAGCCTTATGTCATCTTTCAAATAACAGAATGGACAGCCGAGATTAGGTAATACATTTTTTTTAGAGAAGATAAAAGTTGTTTGGCTTTTTAGGAGCAATTAGTATGTCATTATGTCAAAATCATAGCATCAGAGAGGATTCTGTGTTTAGAATCCTTTTCTAGTAAGGACAAAACCATACTGGATGGCATTAACAGAAACTGAAATTAGTATCATTCTACTTATTTTTGAATCAGTGTATTATAAAATCTGCTTGAAGATTAACTAGCACACCTCAGGGATTTATGATAAGGAGAAGTGCTTTTCAGCCTGATCTTAGTTTTGCTCCCTAAGGGGTACTACTTTGAATAGTTTCTATTTATAATTCTGGCGATTGGATTCATACCTACATCCTCATTATTTAGGGTGAAAGTTGGTTTGTTTTTTGTCAATGTCCTTCTTATCTTCAATATTGTAATGTCTTCCCTTGTCTTAGACAGTACTTTAGGTTTCTGCTACAATTGGCATGAATTTTACTCAACTACACCACGCCTCATCTTCTTCTCTTCTTGTGTTTTTGTTCATTTGTTTGGAGATGGAGTCTCGCTTTATCACCCAGGCTGGAGTTAGTGGTGTGATCTCAGTTCACTGCAACCCCTGCCTCCCAGGTTCAAACAATTCTCCTGCTTCAGCTTCCTGATTAGCTGGGACTACAGGCGCACACCACAGCACACACCACTACTCCTGGCTAATTTTTTGTGTTTTGGTAGATATGGCATTTCACCATGTTGCAGAGGCTGGTCTTGAACTCTTGAGATCAGTCAATCCATCCACCTCAGCCTCCCAAAGTGCTAGGATTATAGGCCTGAGCCACCATACCTGGCCCTACTTGGTTCTTCTTACCAGATACTTATGGTCAAATACAGCTCATCCCACAGTCTCCATTAGCTTTCTCCACACCATGCCTACATTTCTACTTACGTTTTGTTAACCCTAGAAAATGTAGCCATAATAAGCCTAAGATGAAGAATTTAATGCCACCTTCTTCTCTCATCTCCTCTGCCTCTTCTATTTTACTTCTACATCATACAAATTTCTTTTATTTTACTTGTTTTTATAATTATGGCTTCTTTATAGGTAAATTTTAAAACTTAAAAAAAAAAATGGCTGAGCACAGGTGGCTTATGTCTGTAGTCCAAACATTTTGGGAGGACAAAGGAGGAGGATTGCCTGAGGTCAGTGTTCGAGATGAGCCTGGGCAAGATAAAGAGACCCTGTTCCTCCACAAAAAGTGAAAAAATTTAGCCAGGTGCAGTGACATATGTCTGCAATCCCAGCTACATGGGAGACTGAGGCAGGAGGATTGCTTAAGCCCAAGAGGTCAAGGTTACAGTGAGCTATGATCACATCACTGCACTTCAGCCTGGGTGACAGAGTGAGACTCCCTCTCTTAAAAATCAATCAAATAATCAGTCAATCAACATTCATACTATTATGCTTACATAAGGTTTACTGTAGCACCACATAGACTTCCCTGTTCTTA